TTTGTCCTATATAAAAAGAAACATGTGTCGGACAATAGTCACTTTTTAGAGGTATTTTATCTAGAATGTAATAATTTAATAAATAAATAAACATATATGTATAAGCTATAAAAATTATATGTATAAGCAAAAATAATAATAATTATTTTAAATATCTCTACTTATAATAATTTCGAGATTAATTGTAGCTAAATTCTTAATTCTTTCTTGAATAAAGGCGGGTCGTGGATCAAATAGAAGGTACACGGAAAAAAGTAATTTAAAAGGAAAAATTTACAATTTAATAATACTTTCCAGTACTTTATACAAGAAACTTGGATTTATGAATATGTATTATATAATAGTAAGTCATGAATCATGAATTCTTCTTAGTGAAGTCAAGTCTAATATGTCGCAAGATTCAAACGTAGTTTATTCCATGTTCAATAATCGAAAACATTTTACTGAATTAGTTGTTATTTTGCGAAAGTTCATATCCATATCACTGGTTATTTGATTAGAATTATATTAATTCTGTTACCATTAGCCTGGCAATACTCGTAGATTGACTACTATGTTCTGCAACCTTCCATATTATCCATCAATCTATTTACATCTATCTATTCGAGAAGTCTACATCCTAATACAGGTTTAAATAATCATCATATTATTTATTATATTTAGAGATGGGCAATCCACCTGGGTGGGTTTAAAGTCTGGTGGGTAAAAACCGGGTGTTTTGGGTTTATTGGGTTTAAACCCCATAAACACCCAAATTTTTGGGTGTTATGATTTTGTACTTCATCATCGTCATCTCAGCCGCAAGACGTCCACTATACTGGACATAGACAATATTATTATGCAGCCTACAGAATAAAAAACTTTTTATTTGATTTTGAGTTTATTAAGAAAGAGATGAAAGTAAAATGTAAAACTACAGTCAATCACTGTCAGATTCAGAGTTATTACAAGCGATGAATTGTATAGATAGGCTCTATCGTCTAAACTGTTATGTTCATTTACTTGTATTCTAAGGTTATCTTTATGTTTAAGATAGTTATAACAAATGAATGAAAAAAGTATATATGTAATAAATTATCATTAGAATACGAATCGCTACTTGTTTATATATGTAAGAACGGAACCACAAATACCTTTCCACCATATTAGGGGCTCAATGCTATCTAATGAGCTCCATACAAATCCTCTGGCCCAAAAGTTTTCTTTAGCTTTATAACACGCCAAATCTGCCATTATTCAAACTTATCAAATTGTAGATAAACATTTTATGTAGATAAATATATGCTGCAAAATGTTATATTTTAAGAAGATGTTAGAATAGTTTGCTTTCTTCGCTCAATGTCGAAATCTCATTTAATGCAAAACGTTTGAATCTGTAATGTAAAAAATCTGGTCGCTCTCTAAGTAAAATATCTTTCAGTGACTGGTTCCAAAATACTTATACATTCCCCTGTCTTCGTCCAGAAATCATCACTTTTAAATCTTTAATATCTCTTGAAATTACCACATCTTCTCTAACTGTTAATATTTGCAAAGCTATCTTATTTGCTTTCAAACTTTTTAACGAAGTAACATGACTTCCCCATCTTGTAGCACAAGGCAATTTTAGTGTTTGTTAGAATCTTCACCCTGCCTTGATTTTATCAACAAGGAACTTAATCGTTGATTTTTAAAGTTTTTATTATATTTATGGCAACAGTTAATCTTTACAATATCTTGGCACAACAAGTAATAAACTATATTTGAGTTTTGTTAATTCATATTTTCTAGCACTATCGCCAATATATAAAAATTACTTTTTCAACTTCTTGGCTAAATTCACTAGTGTCTTTCTGTATTCAAACTTTTAACGTACAAGGTTTTGATATAAGAAAGTTTATTATTCCTTCATTTCTTAAATTAGACCAGCCATCGCACTGAAGGTGTAAGTAACTACAAGCATTTAGTTCCTCATTTAACTCAAAACGCATTTCTCTATATATTTTATCTAAGTATTTTGTCGCTAAAGCTTTACGTGAAGGTATTTTAAATTTTGGTTGCAATTTTTCGAAAAATTGTATCCATAAAGGATGTTGCACCATCGATAATGGCGTCCCTGTTACAAATATATAATTCTGTTTTTATATGATCATCGGTGTCTTGAAACTCAGCATTTAAGTGTTAGCAGATATATCATTTGTCTCTATCTCTGACAGTCCAGACATTTTGGTTTTGGAAAAATAATAGATTGATAAGATGTTGAAGCATTTTGGCAGCATTACTGAATTTGTAGACCTTATTAATTGCAATTGTTTGGTAAAGTACGGTAGTGCTCCCATATGCGTAAATCTTTAGGTAACCTTGAACGATGATTAGTTGGTCTGACGAAAATTCAACAATAGAGTCCTATTTTTTTACAATGATTATTTCTTGTTATTTACAATAAATTTATTAAAAAAATAATAAAATAAATACAAAAAACCTTTGTAAAATTACATCTCCTCGGAGGATTAAACGCAGACGCTAGTTTATTATCGTATTGTTCTGTATTTTTCAAACTAATTCGATTAGGTACTTACGCATATTATGTTAAAAATAAATATCTAGTACACATCTTAGATCCACCATTATTATCCAATGAAAAAATGTATCATCCAAAATAAACGTGTATGGAAAATTTTATCCCAGTCGGTTGAGGAAGGATAATTATCAACATACGAACATACCTACATAATTTTATTTACATAACGCAAGCTAAATAAAAGCTTGTAATAATACATCTAATTTTAAGTTAAAATTGTTAAGTGATCATGATATAATTGTATCATTCAAAAATCCACTTACCTTTAATTATTTCTTGTTAAGTATAAATATTATTTCAAATCTGCTCCCTTAATATGCATTTTTTACTGCTTTTCCTAAACACGTTACCAGGAAGTCACGTACCAGAGTTAATATAACACGTTTGACAGTATTGTCGTCGCCTCATATTCAGCGTCGACGAATAGAATCCCCAGTCATAATGTATTGCATTGGCGGTCTTACTTCAAATCCATAAACAAAGAGATAATTACAGAACTCGATACTAGATGGCGCTGTTTTTGTTTGAAGAAAGTTTGCGGGCTAAAATACATATAATTTCATCAATGACTTCCACAAAGAACAACATTTCTGTTTTTTCTAAGTCCGTATCTCTTCCGTATATTTCATAAGATTTATTGTTATGCAACGTGATTTTGTTCTTGCTAATAATATACGATTTAAATCATTACTTTACTATTTTTTAATGTACGATCGTAAAGATTGATCGTATTCGCACAAAAACATACGACTTTTTGCCTGGCAACATTTTTATTATGAAACGAACATGCTCACATCATCAGTCACATGCAACAATTTATTGGGGATTTCCCCTTCACATCTGGCAGTCCTATTTGATAGAATATATTAATTCTGTCAGCCACAGTTACTGACGATCGATATTTAAAGGGTATTGTTTTTGTGCTAAATATTTCATAAAAACGTTATTTAATACTTTGTGGATTATTAATTTAGTTGATAATCACTGGAAGTAAAATGGATGCTAATTTGAGAGATATCTTCGTATAAAACAGTTAATAAAAGAAAATCTATTTTTATACCTAGGTAGGTAAGGTATAATAAACACAAAAGGTACTTAGATCGCGTGTGTTCGAAGCATTTATTCTAATAAATTTAATTTAAAATTGTAGAAAGAAAAAAATGTCTGCCAAGCCGTAGCCGAAGCCGATCTCCAAATATATTTGGCGATAGTGAGACCCAGTGTCCAGATGATTTACCCAGCGTCGTCGCAACAAAGAAAAAAACGAGGATAAAGTAAAAGAAAATTTACTGAAAGAAGAAACAAACTGTTCTAAATGCTTAATTTATGGAGAAGAGGATAAAAGAAATGAGTATTTCGGACTGTTAGTGGCTCAAGAATTTAAATATATACGGCCATGTGTGCGAACGAGGTGTTATGAAGAAATTTTAAAGTATCTATATGTTGATCAACTGCAACATGAAAACACTGAAAATTAATTACTTTCATTTTATTATATATAGATTTTTAAAATTTCCTGAAATATTATTAGTTAACGTTTTATTTAATATTGTAGAATTGATCAATACAATTTATAAAAATAATTTATTGGTATTACACATATTTTCAAAAAAATACGTAAAAACCTATTTTTTTGGGTGATTATGGGAGTTTATGGGTGTTTATTGGGTTTTTACCAAAGCACCGGGTTTAAACCCGGTGCTTTGCCCATCTGTAATTATATTTGAAAATATTTAAATACATTTTCAGATCGTCAGCAGGTATACAAAAGAATACAAATTTGCATTGCAAAAACAAAAATAAAATATAAATAGGAGTGGACCTAATATAGGCCCTTATGGAATACCTGAATTACTACTATTACGCAATATTATCGATTATGACTTTTTGAGTTTTATTTTCAATATAGGGTACAAAACATCTCAGTAGATTCCTTCCGATACAATTGATCTACTTGGCCGGCATCTATAGCGACCACAAATAATCGACTTTATTAAAAGCCTTACAATAGTCAATGTAAATAATTAATAACAATATGTGCCTTGTATTTGTGGCTTTCAAACAGAAAATAGTATCAGTATATATGAGACTGTTGACAGTAGAATGTAATAATATATATATATGTATTAAAAAATGCATTTAAGTATTTTTGTCATTTGTTTAGTACTTATCCAGTGCCCATAGTATAACTAAATTACAAACTGATGAAACTTATTGTAGTGTACTTTGTAGTGATAAATTTTAATTATTCATCTCATTCGAAGTACTGTAGTAAAAAAGTTGTAACATCTATCCACAGATAAATAGGCGGAACCATAATAACTTAAACACTCCACCTCCAATAATTTCTCACAATTATATTAGTACTAAAGTATTTGTAAATATTAAAATAATCAAAAAATTTATAGTATAATAATTAGATTCAAAATGAAAATAAGACCTTGAATAATTGGCCGCTCCAAACACAACCGGTACAGCATAATTGTTCAAAGCGGTCAGAAGCTTCTCCGTGACGTAATCTTCGGCAAAAGAATTCTCAAAAGAGAAATAGAAATAGTAATCTTTCTTTATTAATTCATAGCAAGATTTCGAATTACTTCTGGGACACTTTAATTCTCCACACTTTCCGTAAATATCAACTGACCAACCATATTTAGCTAATTCTATTTGAATTTTAGTAACCTCGAGCTCTCTGTGACTTTTAGAATTGCAGTTGGACACGAACCAAGCTGCAGCTTTCGATTTATTAACTAAATTGTTCTGAATTTCTATACCTATAGGGTCCATATCCGGCCAGTGCATTTCTAATTTTGGCCCAACAACTATACCATTCAAGTCATAAATTGTTATGTATCCCCAATACACTTCAGAGTCTAATCTGTAAGTCCATGTCCAGTTAAAGAAGTTGTCATAAATGGGATTTTGAATAGGATAATAATGAGCCGATTCAGTTGCAGCGAAGACATATTTCTGTTTTGTGGACCTTTTCGGCGGTAACTTTAATATCTCGTGATCGATTTCATTACCGTGAAAGAGTACAGCATCAAAGCGCGTTACGTCTGACAAATAATTTGGATCATCGGTCATTATACAGCTCGTGTATGGGCAGTTATACTTAAAGAAGACAGAGTTATCTTCGCCTATGAGGTAAAATGGAGATGAACCCTTTTTATGCCATTGTAGAATATATTTCACATCTTCATTTCGTTCCTCATATAATTGTTCTTCATTATCATCATCTCTTGATACTGTTTCTACATTTGCTTCTACATGTTTATGGCTAAGTATATCAAATAAAATTGGTTTGTTATCGTTTCCACCAGGCACGTACAGCGTAGCGTACATATATATCACAATAGCGACAATTGCAATTAACGTGACAGATTTAGCGACATAGTATCGACTGATAGAATTTTTTATTATTATTAACGAATTCATCTTTGATTTCTTGTAACACAATTATCACTATACATTTTTCAAGCACTGCACAGCATATAGAAAGTAAATATTATTTTATAGTAACTTACACAGGAAAGGTTTAGTTATGACTAGCAGTAATTTATGTTGATAAGTACAGAACGATAGGTTATTGATAAGAGTTGATAAGAAAATATTTGCATGAATAATAGTTTTTTTAGTTGTCGAATTAAATATCAACAAAAAATTGCAATGAGTTGTGCTATATTTTATCTAGATAGATAAGATATAAAAATTATATGTGGTATGTTATAATAGATAAGATATAAAAATATAAATCTAATAGTATATACTAAAGTCGTTATTGGTAGATTTATACGCAACAATTTAGTATAATTATATATACTAATAATATCAATAAATACAATTAAAGAGTATGTTATAGGTACTTAGAATAAAGAAAGTAAAATAAGTAGTATTTGAGATAGGGCTACCTTTTATCCTGATCGATCAGTATATTCTGATTCGAGTAAAATACAGTCAGCAGGGTCCAATAGTAGTAAAATAATACAATGTATTATCGTGTATGTAAGTATGTATGTTTTATGATATACCTATATTTGCATAACATATTTATATAAATATATTTATATGATCATAATGTATAGTAGTTCTCCATATTTTATATTTGAGAGTCAGTATACATACGTCTGTAATTATTTACCCTCAATGATTTTCACCGTCTAACTACATTTCTGTTTTTCTAAAAGTTGACTGGATTTTGGTACGGAACTCTAAAAACGCAATTTTTTAATGTAGGATACGTCATTGATTGTGGCAATTCTCTTCTATTGTCAGTAAGCGAACACACTAGGAAGTAGAGGTGACAACTCTTTTTTTATTGTTAGTAAGTGAATATACTAGGAGGTAGGATTGATATTTTTTCTTTTTTTGCCAGATACGAGCTACTCGTACCACCCGGCGATACACGATGACACGTTCGTGCGTCGAAAACAGCGCCGTAACCGAACCACCTTCACATTGCAACAGGTAATTTCAGTCTCATAATTAACCTTCTTAATAGATTGATCAATCAATGACAACTTGTAATCTATAAAATTTTGGAGAATAAGAGATTTTAACTGCACTTTCTACATTACATTTGGATTAAGTTTCAAAATTTATTAAACACAGAATTAGAATATGATTTTCATATTTGGAGACTTTGTACAAAAGTCGATTGCTTGGGTATCTCTGTCCCATTCGTGTTTCTATCGTGAAGCATTTGTGTTTGCATGGCTGTGTTTCGGTTTGAAGGGTGGGATATAGCGTGAATTTACAGGGTACACAGGAATAACACCTGAGTCCTCAGGAATGGTAACGCATGGGGGGTATCATGGGTGAAATAGTATACTCTGTTATGTCCATGGCACTGTTCATGTCTATAGGCGACGGTTACCATTTAACATCAGGTGGGCCGTCAGCTTGTTTGCCATTCTAAGTTGTATAAAAAAAAATAGTATTTTATGATAATTTGCAACTAGTAATTTGCCAAGTGCCTAATCATAATAATATTATTATACTTATTCAAGTGTCATTATCGCTTATGCTATTTTATTTTTTACATTGGATAATGTGATAAAAACATTCCCATTCATATTTATGTTTTGTTCGTGGATGTGCGTTGATGTTGTTCATGTCTACAGTCGACTGTTGACGACGTTGGGTATTCTATCATTCATTCATGTATAAATGTTTATACTAAGTAAGAAGCTAAGGTGGAATTATTTTCCCCAGCTGGAGGAGTTGGAGACGGCGTTTGCGCAGACGCATTACCCTGACGTATTCACGCGCGAAGACCTGGCACTCAAGATCAATTTAACCGAAGCTAGGGTACAAGTAAGGCACTTGTTTTTCTTTCTATAGTAGATAATATCTTTGTTAGGGATTTTTAAATTCTTGATAATGGAACGGTCAGCGTTATTGGTATAAAACTGGCGGATCATCAGAAGGATAACAGATGAGGATGAAAACAATTCAGTTGAGAGATTAAATGGTGATTGTGTACCGTTAAAGTTCTAATATCGGGTAAGTAATTTTTTATTTTTATTTTTAACTGAACTAGGTGTTATTTTGCGAAAGTCTATATTCGGAGGCTAAAATTAGGCTCCGAACCCACCTAAAAATACCTCGTGTAGAGGTAAAACATATGTGAAAACGTACATCGATGGAATGCCAGTCGGAGATTAATGTTTAATATGAAAGGTTGTAGAATGTCTTGTAATACTAATAGTAGCCAATCTTCGAGTGTTAGCAGTATCACGGTTATTAATGGTAGTAGAATTATACAAAATAATTCTATTCGATTAATCAGTAACTTTTAATGTAATTTTGATGTTTTGATTCGATTCGATAGTTAGTTGAAGAGTAGTGTGGATTATATGCGTTAATGAACTGTAAAAAGATTACCTATCCTATATTGAAACCTACAAAAATTAAAAATACAATGCAATAAAAACAGAAATTTCCATTTTATTCAATTTTTTTTTGCTAAGTGCTAAATTTATGCGAAGTTACAACCTCAACGACGATAAGCAGAGTAGGTTAAAGCATAACTATGTTGACAGATTCACGTTGCTTACTACAAATTGGTCTGAACTGCTGTTTTAAATTTTTTACACTACTGAGGTGGCAAACAAGCATACGGCCTACCTGATTGTAAACAGTTGCTGTAGCCTATGAATGCTCGCAATATGAGGGTATTACGTGCGCATTGCTAAATCTGAAGAAACCTTCCTTTCCCCTTTTTTGAGGAATCCCATACTATAGTCTTTTGAATAAAGTGTATTCTAAAATTGATAAATTTTAAGCGCTCACAATGAGCCCTGGGTTTGTTTATTTGTAAACTGCGTTATTGTATCAATTACCGTAAAATTCTATAAGAGTTAGTTAAACCCTAAGCTATAATATAATCTCTCTTAGAATACAATATATTTTGATGCGAAATCTCATGTTATCCTTAACTTATTATATCACAATTTTTGTAATAAAAGTCATCTCGATCGCATGAAACTTTAATATGAGTGTGTATATTTAATGTTTTACGCCATAAAAATATGGTTTACGATGTTTTGGTGTGGCGGATAGGGGTAATGTAGCTTGTTCGTTATTGGACTTGGCAGCGAGACGTGCCGCGGTTTTCATCTCGGCTGCCACTTGTAAATTGTCAACTTTACTGTCACCTGCTAAATGTAACTCACGTTTAAAGTATGAACTCTAACTTTCGATGTAGTGTTTTTTTTTTTATTTAGTAAAAGATTATATTACCATATTCATCATCATATCAGCTGTTAACACATATATAATATTACTACACGTATTGCCACATTATATAAATACAATTGAACTATATTAGGGTTCAGATCCTTAGATAAAACATGTAATGTAATCGTTTATTTATTTATTCATTAATACATGTATGTGTACAAAGCAGACTTTAAGAGCTTTCTCTCCCAGCCAGTTTTAGGAAAGTCGTTATTTCAGATAATAATTATGGAACTATTTCTTGTAATTTTTATATCCGCTGTTTTTTGTTGTTGTAATCTTTTGGAAGGAAATAATAAAGTATCTGTTTATCTATGTTCCTGTATATATTTGTAAGAATATATCTGTTTTTATACATAAAAGAGGGGTCCGTGTTTATCTCTGTAGGCGTTTCTTTTAAGATGTAGATCTAATGTTCGGAACTTCAGAAGAACGTAAAAATCAAATGATTATGCTTTTTCATTTGAAATTTCTAAAAGGATGGCCTATGTTATCGTGGCATTTTTTAATCTATTAAGTTACAAATATAAATATACTATTTAATTCGTTGGTTTACATTATTAGTTTGGTGTAAATCAGACTACACTTAGCAGTTAAGAATGGATATGCTGGCGTTAGGTTCCAATCCTTTGTTGCTATAGGCGACAGTTACCATTTTTCATCAGAGAGCCTCTCAATTGTATTTACCATTACAAGTTGTATAGAAAGATACCGACAAGTCGTGTACGCTAATATCAGATCACCAAGTGAAATCTTAAGAGAAATGTTTAATCATCAAATTCTAAACTTATTTTCTGTCAATTGATTGGTCTATTCGAAACGGCGAAAGCAATAATTCGAGAGCTTTTAGCATACATCGTAAACTTTTTATCAGAAATACGTTTTGGATTTATTCTCGTATTCGGACAAAGTGAAAGATATTTGAAAGGTAATCCGCTAGAGTATTCGCTTTAAGCGATTTATATTCTTGTAACTTGGAATAATGAGGTTTTATTGACGACTACGAGTAGCAGTTACTCGCAAACAGTAACTTGTAGACGGAGAAAGTTCTCGATTTATCTGTATTTTATATTGTAAATTAACATTATGATAATTTCTTTTTGCCACGGTGTTTGTCTCGTCGATTGAAGGTGCTGTTTTTCTTTGCGGAGCAATAACTGCTTATTGCCAAGCAAAACAAGAAGGAAATTTTATACAAAAGTCGTTTGCTTAGGCAGCTCTGTTCCATTAGTGTTTCTACCGTGAAGCAGTTGTGTTTGCATGGCTGTGTTTCGGTTTGAAGGGTGGAATATGGCAGTGAATTTACAGGGTACAGAGGAATAACAGCTGAGGTTTCAGGAATAGCAACGCATGGGGGTATCATGGGCTTAACAATATACTCTGTTATGTCCATGGTACTGCTCATGTCTATAGGCGACGGTTACCACTTTCCATCAGCTGGGCCGTCAGCTTATTTGCCACTCTAAGCTGCATAAAAAATTTGCTTATCTTGAGATTCCAACTACTTATTTCCAAATTAATGGAATGATGACTAACATTTTATATATATCTATCAGGCATTAAAATTGTTTGCCAATATCCCTCCCTCATGCGTTGTCATACCTGATAACTACCATATGAAGCCTTGAATTCACTGTGACGCTCGTCGTATCATACCATGAGTGTCACAGTACCTAAATAATGCAACTCTCATGTATTTGATTCTCTCTGTCCACCGCATAAATAACTTGTCGTGAAGACAAATCCTTGAGATTAGTCAGAATTATATATAGCAATATACCAATTGACTAGATACGTATATATATGTATAATATAATGTAAACCAATTTATCGTGATATACTTAGAACTCATGCAGTAGCCGTGGCTCATGACGCGGTTTTAGGCAAATTGCTTCGCGCAACCGACCCTGTTTTATTTATGTCGAAATAAAAATTGCCCAATTCCGCCGCCAGGGCACGCCACCAGCCACAATTTAGTGGCGCTACTGTCGCTCCCCCGTACGTGAATACGTTTTATGGCCGAGGAACGCGAGTTTGGAATCGGTTGAATGATGTAATGTATCTTTACATTGTAAAATTAGGTATGTGACTGAGAATTTGTTGGATAAAATATTTTAAGACAATGATTTGATGAGATTTGGGAATATGTATGAATTATTTCATTACAAGCTTTTACTCGCGACTTCGTCCTTGTAACTGGGATATGTTGATTGACCGAGATTAAAAGTAGTCTATATTCTACTCCATTGCATATAGTATATGTATATTCATTTCATAATAATTGGATAAGGTGCTAAAAAGTAACAAACAAATAGATACACTTTCACGTTTATAATATTAGTAAAGATTTGATGACTTCTGTGGCACTGTGGTTAATATTGCTTATTTTACAAAATTTTGCTTTGGGTAATTAAGATTTGGGTTCGATCGCGGGGGGCAGGAACAATTTATAAACCGACAAATTCTATATTGCGTCGGGACTGAGTGTTTTGAATTCTGCTCCCAGATGTGTCTAATTCCTCATAATAAAGGGGAGAAGAAAGATTGTTAATGATGGAAACTAGGGTCCATATCGCTACTAATATATCTGTCAATTCTGGAAACCATTGCGATTAATTCTTATAATTTTATCACGAGGGATTTGACCTGTTGTATCTTTTAAAATTATTTTGTTATTATAGACCAGTATACCAATAGGCGGAGTTTACATTCCATTATCATCAAATAAAAAATTCTTCATAACGCAGGGTATATAAGCTCGAGAATCAGGTGAATGGAACGCTTTAATGGCATTATATAAACTTAAAATTATCTGATTTCATGATTATTTTTCATTATGTGCCTGCAAATATAAAAATAGAACAGTCACAAGTCATTCAAACCATCCATAAAGTTACTCCATCCCCGTAACAAGAGCAATCGACGTAACAAACTCACAGACAAGTTAGACAATATCGAATTTCACCCGTCGAACTGAAGGAATCCACTCCCATTAGTTAACTACAAGTCCATTGTCAAAATCCACTCTAGTTGGTTGCTAAAACCACCAAAACATTTGAGAATTGCACGTCTACATGTCCAATAATAGTTGGTCTTTGAAGACTCATTCGGTTTTCCCAATATCGTTTTGAATGGCAAGACGAGAAGGGCGCGCGGGAGGTCAGGTTTGGATGGTGATCTGTAACGCGTTTAAGTCGCTCATCTCGGAATGGTATTACAGTATGAGGCTGTTACCTTTCCTCCCGCGCGACCGCATCCTCACCCCTCTCACACCTAGCGTCACGTGCTCCACGGATTAAGGGTTGTCACAGAATTCATGTTTAATTGTGTTCAAAAAGTAACAAATTCTCAATAAAACTATATTTTTTGGTATAACGTGATTTCTTTGCGAATCGTTATTGAGATTTATTTTTAATTCAAAATCATTGATTTTCATATTGGTTCCACTTGGATTTTATCAAAAATTTTACAATATTATTTTAAATACATTTAACTATCTATATTTATACAATAATATAATTGATATTGACGCAAAACTTAAATTAATGTGTCTAAAAATATCTGTAACATCGTGA